TTAATTGATATAAACGTTGTCAGTATCAGTTAAAACAAATCTGTTAAAGAATCAAGAACGTATTAATGGATTAAAAGAAGTTTTAACAGATTAAAGCTGCACTTTTAACAGATTAAAAGAATCTTTTAACAAATTAATTAAACCAGCGAGTTTTGAAAATCTTCTATAAAAACAGTTTGGCTTGAACTTTTTTAACATACATTGAATATCATCTTTTACACATCTTTGAGCAATCAATCAAGCAAACTTCAACACTCTTTTCAAGAAAGATTCGCATCAGTTTTTGAGAAGTTCTTTGAAAATCTTTCTTGAGGCAACTTGATTTCTTTTGAAGAAGAAACACTTACAGCAGAATTGCATAAACTGGTTTGAGCATTCTAGTTTATTCTTTTTCATTTCTTTACATTCTTTTTGTATTGTTTGGTGCCTGGAATTTGGGCACTTGGTTTCTCTACAGTTGGAATTTGGTTGTAGAGGTTATTAAGAGTTGGAATTTGGTAATACGAGAAAACATTTCAGAAAACAAAATGTTAAATACTTTTAAATATTAAAATTGACTTTATAAAAAATTAGGAAAAAACAATTAATCAAAAAGAGTTCAAAAATGTATTATAATATTTTCAGTTTTAGTTTAATTATATTTTTCATTCTCAAAGTAGAAAAATATATTGTAATATTATTTTAATTTAATAAAATATCATTTAAATTTTTAATACTAAAATTAAAAGATTAAATAATAATAAATTTAATTCTTTAAATTTAGTATTTAGAAACTAAAATTATAGTTTCTCTGTTTTAAAAAATTAAAATAAATATTTAAAAATAAAAATCAAAACTATTATTATGTTAAATTTATTAAAAGTATAATTAAATCTCTATTTTCTTCAATTTTTTAATATAAATTTTTAAAATATAATTTAATTTCAATTGAAATTTTCAATTGAAAAATAAATTCAAGAATATTTGTTATTAAATTTTTCTTGAACAATGTATTGAATAGTTAACATCACTCTAGTCTTAATTTATTACAATTTAAATTTTTAATAAATTTGATTTATTACAATTCATTTTGTTAATATTGAGACCAAAGTTTATTTTTAAAGTATATTTTAAAAATTAAAATATTTTTAAAAAATAAATTACTTTTAAAAAATAAATTGTAAAAAATATACTAAAACAATTAAAGTATATTTATAAAAAAAATTAAATATAATAAAAAAATAATATTCATTAGCGACTAGATTTCAATTCGGTCGCTATTTTCTCATTAGCGACCGATTTTAATTCGGTCACTATTTAAATTTGTAATTCGGTCGCTAAATCAATCGCTAAATGATTTTTTTATTTTAGTATGAAAATAGTCACCGATTTAGCAACCGAAATTTTGCGACGCAAAATATTGGTCGCTATTTCGGTCGCTAAATAAAAAAGTGCAAAATAAATCATATTTTGGTCACTAAATCGGTCGTTAATTGCAACCGAATTAAAGTGGTCGCTGAATCGGTCGCTAATTGCGACCGAATTAAAGTGGTCGCTAAATCGGTCGCTAATTGCGACCAAAATTAAATCGGTCGCTAATTGCGACCGAAAAAATTCGGTTGCTAATTTCGGTGGCTAAATGTGTTTTTTCTTGTAGTGTTCCTCCACGGTTCCATCAGCAAGCAGAATCATATTGGGGATGTTATCCCCAAATTTAAATTTTAGGGTTCACAGTAATTGGGATTTTATAAATTAAACAGAATCTGAATTTTTAAATATTTCCTAAGACAGACATGAATCTAGTATGGGCAGCTCTGATACCAATTGTTGGAAAACTAATAATTATAATCCTGATTTTGATTCTAACTATCAAACATAAATGTAATTTCATACTGATAAACATGTTGTAAACTGAATGCGAAAGTTTATGTCTTTGTAGAGCACTATATTGATCTTATGATCTTCCACCCGAAGAACACCTGTATTTTTCTCTTTATTTTCTTTCTTAACGGGGATAGAAAGAAAGGAATGGGAGTGAAACTTTACGTGCTCCCAGAAGGGGACCATGATCCCTTAAAATAACTAGAATTAGGTTAATTACTTAAGTTTTAATATTTCTAATTTGACCCCTCATCAAATTAAAAATTGTTCTATGGTCTCTACATAATTTTATTTTTATGACATATGTCTTTAGCCAAACTTTTTAATTTAGTCAGATTACTTTATTGTTTGGTTTAATAAATAATGATCCTAACACATTTAAATTATATTATATATATACACACACACGTGACCCAAATTTTGCCTAACATTTTATTATTATTATTTCATTGCTTTTTTTTTTTCTTTTTAATTTGATTTTAAATGATATAGTCATGTACTTAATTATTCAAAATAATCATAATAGACTTACCAAATAAGAAAACAGACTAAAAAGAAAATACTCAATTAAAATTTATAATTTTTTTTCTAGTGAATTTTTTATTATTATTTTTTAAATTAAAAAAGATAATATGTCCATTATATAACGTGATAGACTTTAATAACTACTAGATCCACAGACCAAATGATTCAAAATACAAGTTCTACGCGGATCACTCCACCCCACTTTTTTTTAACTAAATTATATATTTAACTAACTTATAATTTAATAAAGATTTTCTTTCTACATTTTTTATATTTTGTATACTCTTTTGTTTGAATAAATTCTTTTATTTATTATGATCGGTAATAAAAAAAAAAATCATAACATAGTAAGAGAAAAATGGAGGGTGTGACGAAGAAAAACGAGTGATAATACAATATGACTAGCATTGTGGTAATGGAGAAGAATAAGTAGTAATTACCATGCAATAGAGTGGAATTCGATTGTCTCTGTCATGCATACACTACTACAAATAAAGCTTTCAATGTCGGTTCTGGAAGGCTTTCAACGTCGGTTTAATAACCGACGATGTATCAGGCGACGTTGAAAGTCGTAACTTTCAACGTCGGTTCTAAAAAACCGACGTTAAAGTTTTTACTTTAGATAGCGGTTATAAGGGAACCGCTATCTAATATACACTTTAGATAGCGGTTATAAGGGAACCGCTATCTAATATACACTTTAGATAGCGGTTATAAGGGAACCGCTATCTAATATACAGTTATAAGTCCACTTTCAACGTCGGTTTATTAGAACCGACGTTGAAAGTATGATTTTTTAAATTAATAATTTTTATTTATTTACAACCCCTTTACCCCCTTTTATTTATCTAGAAGTCTCCCCTCTCTTCATATTATATCCCTTTTATTTATCTAGAAGTCTCCCCTCTCTTCATATTATATTTTTATTAGGTCCTCCATCTCTTTATATTATATTTTTTAGAAGTTTTTTAATTTTTAAGAGAATTGTCATTGGCGAGGATTCGAACCCAAGATCTTTAGAGTTGGAGGTCGATACTCCAACCACTAAACTACTTGAATTTTTTGATAATAACTTACAAATAAATTATATTTATATACAAATAAATATATATCCGTGTAAATTTCACTACTAGAAAAATGTCAAATAGTAACTTCGAATCTCAACCCCAACCTCAAGCTCGACGAACTCGAGGCCGAACCCCAACTCTGGCGACATCGAACCCCAATGTCAAGTCAAACCCAATTGTCATGCTGTGAAACCCAATGCAAACCCAGTGGAGATCGAACCCTAACGCATACCCTAGTGACGTCGAACTCTAACCTCGAGCCAACCCCCACTTTAATTCGGTCGCAATTAGCGATTGATTGATTGCTCAAGGATGTGTAAAAGATGATATATTCAATGTATGTTAAAAAAGTTCAAGCCAAACTGTTTTTATAGAAGATTTTCAAAACTGCTGGTTTAATTAATCTGTTAAAAGATTCTTTTAATCTGTTAAAAGTGCAGTTTTAATCTATTAAAACTTCTTTTAATCCATTAATACGTTCTTGATTCTTTAACAGATTTGTTTTAACTGATACGACAATGTTTATATCAATTAAAACACTTTACAAAAAATCTTCTAAGTTGATTTAATCGATTGTTTCGCGATTCAATCGATTAAAATACTCGCAAAACTTTCTTGTGACACTTTTCAAGTAATTTTAATCGATAAAAATAAGTTTTAATCGATTAAAACGCTATGCGTAAATTGTTTTAATCGATTGAAACGAGATTTAATCGATTAAAATAGTTCTGATCGGCCATAACTACATTCTGATCGATCATAATTGAAACAATATAATAGCGGTTCCAGGTTAACCGCTATCTAAAATGTATCTCGCTTGAGCGACACCCTTCTCGCTCGAGCGAAACGCCCTCGCACAAAATTAGCATTCTCGGGTTGTATTTCGCTTGAGCGACACTACCCTCGCTCGAGCGAAATTAGATTCTGATTGATCATAACTTGAAATGATCGATCATAATTGAGAGGATATAATAGTGGTTCCCTTATAACCGCTATCTAAAGTGTATATTAGATAGCGGTTATAAGGGAACCGCTATCTAAAGTGCATATTAGATAGCGGTTATAAGGGAACCGCTATCTAAAGTGCATATTAGATAGCGGTTATAAGGGAACCGCTATCTAAAGTGTATATTAGATAGCGGTTCCCTTATAACCGCTATCAGTAAGTAAAAAATAAAATAAAAAAAGACTTTCAACGTCAGTTCATATGGGAACCGACGTGGAAAGTGTTTAATATTCAATTTCAACGTCGGTTCATCTGAGAACCGACGTGGAAAGTACTTTCTACGTTGTCTCAACTATAACCGACGTTAAATAACGACATAGAAAGTATATTTTGTAGTAATGATAATTACCTACCCACATTCATTCATATAAAATGTGTTACACTATAATAATAGGTTTTAAAACGAGTTTTTTTTCATATGCATTGAAAAGGAGACATAATAGTTCGAGAATCAACTTGGCATATATTAATAAACAAGATTCATCATTTACACCATGCAAGAGAACTAAGGAATAAGAATATCAAACTAGCTGTTTCAATTAATGGAGATCGATCAGGCGCAGGCCACTGAACGAAGGAGGCAAGTTGAAGCACCAACAACCAAAGCAGCGAACAACGTGGGCAAGAAGAAATCTAGGTTGGACCTGCTCATAACCGCATGTTGTGGCAAACACACAATCTCTCTGGGAAAATCCAAAGGAATTCTCACAAAGTCACTAGCACCGTTACAAGGGTTGGATGAGAACGATGAAGATGGAGACATCGCCACCAGAAAAGCCACCCCGGGAGCCACCGACGCCACCGTCACGGTAACGATCAAGAGAAGTGTCCACGTGACGGCGTTGAGCAACGGCGAGGGTAGTGTGGACGCCACTCGCCGGAAAAAAGAATGGAAGCAGAGGAGGGACATGATCGTGGAGAAGTGACAAAAATGAAAAGAGGTTTGGATTTAAAGGGACTCGTTAGGTTTTTGCTTTTGTTTGTTTGAGTGGCACTAACTAACGTTTGACTTGGACAAATCTACAAGGTGGTGTGGTCGCACGTTTGCATAAGTTGTGGATGTGTTATGACGAAAATGCCTTTAAGAATACCTTACGATGACTTGAACTATCTTTTATTTTATTTTATTTTTTTAATTTTGAATCGAAAGATCTAATCTAAATAAAAACAAAAATTACTCTCCGGCACTTAATCTATTGTTTTAAACCTTAATTTTAAGCCATGGCTAGCGTCTGATAATATTTACAAGCTGCTTAGAAAAACTCACAAATTAAGGATGAACGTGGCATAGGAATTTACTGAAAAACTTAAATTAATGAGAATATTAAAATTAATTTCCAAAAAAGAAAGTAAATTTACAGAAAAGTGTTCCGTTACCCAAACCATTGATGGATATAATTTTAAGAAGCAACTTTTAATTACGTTTTGTTGTTGATTATATAAAGGAATGAGATGCCAAACTGGAGTTTGGGAATGAAAAAAATATTCATAGACAATTGTTTCCAATGAAAAAATGTTTCGCTGTTTGCTAGATTGTTGTTTTATTCAAGTATTTCTGATGAACAACTTTTTATGAATATATATATATATATATATATATATATATATATATATATATATATATATTAAATGAAAACACTTAATGTTATATTATTGTTTATCATTAATCACTCACTAATTAATATAAAGTAAATTTTTATTAGTTATATATATAATTTTAAATTTTAATGAGTTGTATCATTTAAAATAAACATGTCATAAGAATAGTTAAATTTAAATAGTTATTATTGAAATTTATGAAAATAGTTAATTTTAAATAGTTATCAAGGATAAAATTGAAATTTATAAAAAAAAATCAATAAAAATAACGATATAATTTATAAAGAATTTCATTGAAAATATTTAGTTTTTTTTTAATCTAAATTTTTGTATAATTTAACAATCACTTTTTATATTTATTTTTATTTTATTTATATTTTATCTTTGTGTAACTATTAGTAAAAAGTAAAATAAGATAAAATAAAATAAATTCTTTTTTTATGATTGTTCCCTATTTTTTTCAAGTTATTTATTGGTTATGTAGTACGTTTAATGTCATGTGTAGGAGTCATGACCTTTTACATATGTTTCAATTGCATAATTTCTTCTCTCAATCTATCGTCTTTTTTTTTTTTTGCATAACCAATTTGTTTATTATTTTCTTCGATTACGTGACACTTATACCATTAGTTTCTCAATATCTCAAAATTTTTTATTCTAAGTCTTTATTTCCTCTGATTTTTTACATTTCCATAAATATTTGTCGGCATCTTTTTGGTTTTTTTTTTCTTAATTTTCAACCCATAACTGATAACACTAATAATCTTCACTAACATATCTATCAATATCTTGTAACACTACGATTCTTTATTTAATTATATGAGCTATTGATAATTTATTTCTTCATTACTCTTTTTACCATCAATATTAATCTTGATTATATTTTTGATTTATATATTTTGATCAATTATTCTCTTAAATTATATATTTTTTAAATTTATTTTTAAATTATTTTTATTCTCGATTTTAGAGTATTATTGATGTGAACATGACCTATGATAAGGGCTAAAGCAAGGGAAGCAAAAGAAGCTCTTCATAGTGTTGTTGGTTGACCAAATTGTGTTTTGGATTAATCAATTAATGAACTTTAATTTAGTTTTATTGTAAGTTGTAATAAAGGTCCAATTGGAAATTTAGTTATCAGTCTTTGGGAGACCAAGAGGGTGCATAGCTGATTGACTTTTGAATGCCACAATTTCAGTTATAATCAATCATTAAGTAGTTTTCAATTCATAGGTTAATAAATCATTATTAGCATTTATTTTCCTTTAATGAATATTTGAAACTCTGATGGCAAAACTTCTTTATAAGCTAAACCATTTTTATCAGAAATAACAAGTTGAATTTTATTTTTAGAAATATTAGAGTTTATCTTTTTTATCTTAGTGAGAGTGATTCTCCTAAGTTTTTTAGTGATTCAAGAACCATTGGCTGTATCAAAGGACTTTCACATCCATTGTGTGTTGCCTTCATTGGAAAGAGTGATTCTTTTCTTCCACCTTCTTTCTAATTTCTAAATTTCTTACAAGGTTCTAACCTTAAAGATCCTAAATTACTCCTTGTAATTCATATCAACTATGCACTTTCATACTTCTTTTAACTTGATTTTTATTTTTTTTCTCATTTGAAAACTTTAATATTTTCTCCAATTTTTTTTTTATATTTGTAAATTTGTTAATAAGGCTTCAAATTTTATTAATATATAAATGGATTTAAAAAATAATGGCAGAGACAATTGAAATTATATGTGAATGAGTATATGATTTAGATAAGTTTAGTACTTGTTCTAATAATTTTGTTAAGTTTATTAGATTTTGATATATTTTTATATTATATATAATTTATTCAATATGTGGTTAACTTGTGGAATGATTTAGATAAATCGACTTAAATTTATATAATTTTTATTTTTATTTGTGTGGACAATATATGCTTTCATATAAAGTATAATGAGAGATAATAGTGAGAATGAGAATCTAAGAGTCAGTAGAAGATAATGGTAGTCGTTACATGAATATATAGATAATAAAACGGTAACAATGGTGAATGTAATAGAAAATTTTTTGTCAACAATAATAAAAGTAATCATAATTATTATAAGAATCATGGTGTGGTGATGCTAAAGATACAGATAAAAATGTCAACACAAATTATAATCCGTGGGTTACCAACTGGCCTGGTTTGAAAAAAAGAAACAATAAAAATTATTATTCTAAATGAGTTTGATTTACTTAACCTCTGTAAATAAAGAAAAAACATTTTAGTAAATTAAGTGACCTAGTTTATATATTTTAATAAATTTTTTAAAGGACATATATTTAAAATCAAATTAATTTATAAATCATTAGTGAATTAATTAAAATTTAAAAATAATAAAACAAGGTAGTCCATCTTCTTTGTGACTTCTCTAATTTATCAAATCAAAACAGAGATTATCAAGATTGAACAAAACTCCAATCTGCTTTATTAAAAAATGGACTGAGATAAAAAACTAGTATATAAATATATTTTTTTAATTTATATATTTAATTAAAAAAATATTTATTTATATGAATAAATTTTATTTTTAATTTATTAATTAATATTTTTATGAGATAAATTAAAAAATATTATATTTATATGTCAAAATAACTAATTATAATCAATAATTTAAATTATAATATATTTATATATTTTAATAACCTAATAAAAAATATGATATTTTTAATTATAATTTTTTTATTTTAATTTTAATATATAAATATTTTTTATAAGGGATGAAAATAAATTGTCTAAACTGTACCACTAATTTTTAAACGGTTTTGCAATTCACTATGATTTGTGAACATGGCTCGGTCATTTAATTTGATTAAGTTTTATTTAACACATGATAATATCTTTATAAATTTTTAAATATTATGAACATAATTTAATCCAATTACATAATAATTATAAGAAAAATATTTTTCTACATGATTTTTTTTTCAATCTCGTTTCTTTCTTATATTTTAAATCAATGAATTGATTTCTCTAAATTTTAAATAATATGTGATTTTAGTTATTATTTATATTTAAATTCAACATTTTTCATTTGACAACTGAAACTTCCTTTTACAACTAATATTATTTATTATATTATTATTATTATGTTAAGATAATTAATTATTTATTGAATGTCAATTAATCCCCTCATATATAAAATTGAAATACCAGGGATTTATAAAAGAAAAAAAAATTGTTTTCAAGATTCCTTGTTAGTCCAATAGTTTTGAAGGATATGGATTGCCACGGAAGCTATCCTGAACCGTAGATGTTGTCCAATCCAACAGTCAACATTATTTCTAGTGCTCAATGTTCACCAGGGTGTCGAGAACGTTTATCAATTATAAAAACCGTGACAGCACCTCATCCATGTGCATCTTAATCTACCAATTATTCCTCTTCCATAACCACTCAGAATTTTCACCCGAATTCTAGGTTTCCGACATGGATACTGGTGGCAAGATCAAGAAGGGTGCAGGAGGAAGGAAAGGTGGTGGACCGAAGAAAAAACCGGTGTCAAGGTCTGTTAAGGCCGGTCTTCAATTCCCTGTTGGAAGAATAGGGCGGTATTTGAAGAAAGGAAGGTACTCGCAGCGTGTTGGAACCGGTGCTCCGGTTTACCTTGCTGCAGTTCTTGAGTATCTAGCCGCTGAGGTAATCGGATTTGAGTTGAGCCTATCTTTGATTGTTAATCGTGGTTAATCTAGTGTTTTGATGATTGATTGTGTTTTTGTGGATTGGATTGTGTAGGTTCTTGAGTTGGCTGGGAATGCTGCTAGGGATAACAAGAAGAACAGAATCATTCCAAGACATGTTCTGTTGGCTGTGAGGAATGATGAAGAGTTGGGGAAATTGCTTGCTGGTGTAACCATTGCCCATGGTGGTGTGCTTCCCAATATCAATCCTGTCTTGTTACCTAAGAAGACTGAGAAAGCCTCTAAGGAACCCAAATCTCCATCCAAATCCACCAAGTCTCCCAAAAAGGCTTAGTTTGTTGATGTTAATTTAATGTGCCCAATGTACATCCGTGTTTAGGCCATTTCTATTCATCATCATTTGTGATGCTTTTGATACATGTAGTTTTCATTTTACCTGTTCTTTATATGATCCTGTACTCAATCAGAGGAATCTGCAAGCTTCAGTAATGAATGAATTTTTCTTTCTGATATTCCCCATTAGAACATTATAATTCGTGTCACTGCCTTCTCTACTCAGTCAGAACTATTTATTTTTTTTCTTCACACAATTAGAAATCTCTATCTATTTAATTTAATGAAATCTATGTTGGGTGTGATCAAATTATCATGTAAAAAACAATGGATACGTCTTGAGTGCTATTAATGTTGTCTGCAGTGGTAAGAGAGGCGTGACTCAAACTAATATTTTCCAGAGTCCAGCTTGAAGCATTTGGATTGTATCTGCTACTACATCACAGAGGTAAACGTTTTTTAATATTAGTAGCTGGGAAGTGCAAGATAATTTGGCACTAAGATCTTTTAAATATCCTTTTACACAACTTAAGATATTTTTTTTTGTAAGAATCCAATCTTTAGAGTGAAAATCTTGACCCTAGTTTTAATCTTAATGGAATACAAAGTGAAATCTAATGTCTATGATGAAGGAGGAGAAAAAGATTTAAAAGAGATTTTAATTGAATTTTATGTTCGGACAATGACAGTGGAGAGATTCGTTTGAAGAGTGGAAATAGCTATTTTATTGACTGGTTTAGAACAAGAAAGATTTCATAAAGACAATTGAACATATACCAAATCATTTTTATCTCTAAATCATTAATATTGAAGGGTATAAAAATTCTTTATGAAAGTTTCATCGAAATGAGTGTTTTGGAAGCTTCCTCCTTTGTTGATGATGGGATAAGGTGAATACTATTGTCATCAACATTGAGAAGGGAGAGAAGTTCAATCCATGTTTAATACAAGAGAAATGATGGTTTGACAACCATTATTTTCGAAATCATCCTTCCTACAATTTAATATATTATTATAATATTGTTATTTCTGGTTGTGGAATGGACGTCCATTAATATAATACTTTAACTCACAATAAATAAATAAAATTGACATTCAAAATTTCTAAACCTCTCGTAGATAATTTTAAAATATTATTATTTTTAATATATTATTATAATATTGTTATTTCTGGTTGTGGAATGGACGTCCATTAATATAATACTTCAATTCACAATAAATAAATAAAATAAATTAAATTGACATCCAGAATTTCTAAACCTCTCGTAGATAAATTTAAAATATTATTATTTTTGTTAATAAAAAAGAATGTAATAAAATAGATAAATAATAATATAAAAATTTAGAAATAGTTAAATAAATGGATGTTAAAAAAAAGATTTTCAAAATATCATAACCCATAAATATATATTATTAATTTGTTTATTAATATTATTAATAAAACTAGTAATTATTATATTATTTTTATTATAAAAACTAAAATAATATTAATAATATAATAATAATAATTATAATTATAATTATATTATTTTATTATTATTAGTTTTATGTTATTTCATTATTATTTTAGTTTTTACAATAATAAATAATATTATTAATAATATAATAATTATTAGTTTTATTAATAATATACATTTAATTATTATTTATTTTATTAGTAATAATATACAAATTATTATTATTAATTATAATAATGTAATGAAATAATAATTATTATAAAAAAATCGTACTTCTTAATTAAAATTGTAAATTTTATAAAATTTATCTGTGTATAGAGTATACTTTTAATATACTGATTTACTTGTTTAATTTTGTAGTTCAAAATTTTAGATAGAATGCAATCTGCTCATATTAATTTGTTGTTAAAGACAATTATTTTTTGAATCTGAAAGTATATTATGAATCAAATGCATATTAATTTTAAAAATATTGTTAATTAATACTCCCTTTTAATAATTGAAACAAGTAGTATTCATTTCCATTTAATGGATGGCATTGGGGTTGTTTTCCACGTCCCAATCCCTTTTAAAATTGGAAGTAGAAAAGTGGATGCAGTAAAGAGGAATCTGATTGGCTAGGATTGAAGCACACGGATTGCCAATTAAATAATTGTAAACCGTAGATTAGATAATATCCAGCGGTCCACATTTATTCTTGCTGAATCTTGGTGAAGGTGCCAAAGCTTTATAAAGCAGAAGTTACCATCAATTCTTACATCGTATTCTTACAAACTCTCTCATCAAACCGCATTAGTCGTCTCTAAAACCTAGGGTTCAGGCATGGATACTACAGGAAAAATCAAGAAAGGTGCCGGAGGGAGGAAGGGTGGTGGACCGAAAAAGAAACCAGTGTCAAGGTCAGTCAAAGCTGGTCTCCAATTCCCCGTCGGAAGGATTGGGCGATATTTGAAGAAAGGAAGGTATGCTCAGCGTGTGGGAACCGGTGCTCCTGTTTACTTGGCTGCAGTTCTTGAATACCTAGCTGCTGAGGTAACCTAACATTAATTGCATCTCTCAGTTATTGTTAACTATGGTTAATTTCGTGTTTTGACAATGGATCTTGTGCCTGTGTGGATTGGATTGCGTAGGTTCTTGAGTTGGCTGGAAATGCTGCCCGTGACAACAAGAAGAACAGGATTATTCCGAGACATGTTCTTTTGGCTGTGAGGAATGACGAAGAATTGGGAAAATTGCTTGCAGGTGTGACTATTGCCCATGGTGGTGTGTTGCCTAACATCAACCCTGTATTGTTGCCTAAGAAGACTGAGAAGGCTTCCAAGGAGCCCAAATCTCCATCTAAGGCCACCAAGTCTCCAAAGAAGGCTTAGCCTATAAATTTAATTTAGCTTTGTATATCAGTGTTTAGGATGCTTTTGATGTAACAGAAAGTGAATTTGATGGTTGAAACAGTGTAATTCTTGTTTTATTATATTTCGTGTAGGTGTTTGCTTTGTTATTGAAAACATCTTGTTTTAGCCCAAATTTTGTCTCTGTAGCAACTGTTTATTTATTGCAGAGTATGTCTTTTTTTTTATACAGAGAAGACAATTTCGAAGTTTTTATGTTGAGCAAATAAAGTAAATCATAAAATGCCGTGTGCCAAATTCAAAGTGGCTTCTAATAGTCTAATACGATGTTTTATCAAAATAATTCCATGGCAGGGTTTTTAGGTGAACGAGGAGTTGGAGAAATATCTCTCCAGTTCCATTGCTTTATGTTGTGCGTTCCAACATTAACTCAGTCTTTGCCCAAGAATTCTGCTGATGAGGGTGTCCACATCTTAATCCTAGGAACAAGTCTCTCAGGAAGACATTGATTACCTAGTTTATTGGATTTAATTTAATGTGGTAAATGTAAATCTGTATTAGGTCCTTTCTTGTAAGCTCATAGTTGATGTTTTTGGTTCATGTGGTTTTGATATTAATCGTTTATATGCGCTTTCACTCAAAATGTAGAAACCGCAAGATCTCAAAATGTATTAATGTATACTTGTGATTTTCATTCATCTCTGGGATCAATTTCATAACATTATGCTACTTGTAGGGCATCGTATGTTGTATTTAATTAGATATACTTTTTTTACACATGTGGAGGTTCTCAAGAAATTCAGTTTTGTTTTAATTTTGTCAACTCTGGTTAATAAAAAAACTCAAAATACAAAAAAACACACTTAACAAAGTAGATCCATGGATTATTATGTCAGTCTACAAGACTAAAATATATTCCCATACCAGCCGAAGAGATCCACTTCCAAGAATATAGACGAATAGATTCAAGCAACTTCAATCGATCCACAACGTCTTGTTTAAAGACTACACAGTTCCGATACAACCAAATGGACCAGATGACCGTAACCCAAATAATAACAAAAAGTACTAAAATCACTTTTTACTCTTCCCTTCACCACACCAAACAAGAAAAAAGAACAACAAAGAAAAAGACATAACAAAATTAACACCAAATCAACAAAAAACATCCATCCATGTATTATATGCCACCGGACAAAATATAAAAAGATACACCAGATCTTCTACAAATAAATCGCACATAAGACACAAAACAGAATTCAATTACACTCCACGCCCATGCAGAAAGCCTAATATCTAATTAATATAACATTCTTAACATTGGAACTACTCTGCTACAATATAGTGCATATTATGTTTTTTTAACTTATCTATTTTCCTAAAAAGCATTGTTAAGAATTTGTTATATTAATTAGATATTAGGCTCCAGAAAGCAAAAATATGGCATTCAATTATCATTGATTGGGGCAATTTTTTAGTTGATGTATATATAGTAGCGGATATTAGTTTCGTTTTGCCATAAAAGCATGGAAGAGTTTATTTGAATATAATGTTAGATCTAAAACCTTTCTTTATTGCAAACTATTCTATAATTCCAATAGAATTCTGAAAAGCATTTTTAGCTTTTATTCACTCACTTTCAGAGTGTTGTTTGATAGTGAATATTATCATTTTAAGAATTTTTCATGCCATGCTATGATGGAAAGGCTTACACTTTTTCTGTTTTCCCTTGAAATTGTTTGGCGAAATTACCTTCTTTGGCGTTTGTTAAATTTTATAAATCCACCATTTGATCCATGACAGTAGTGTGGTGTCAAATAGTAAAATGAACTTTGTAGAACTTTTTATCTAAAATATATTTTATTATTACAATATTTTTTTAAAATTAAATCAAGTTTACAAATTTTCATTTAATTAATAAATTATTTTATATGGTTCCACCTTTCTATTCTAAATTGGAAGAGACACAAACTGTGTTCACATCAGTTTGGTGACTGATGAATTCCCAGTGGCCATCGTATAAACTACAGTTTTAAGAAACCCATTTATTTCCCTTGTCATTTCTTTCCATTATTGAAGATGGTTGCCGAAGCCTTCGTGAATTTAAGAATTTATCCAACGATGGGAAAAATGTTATCACCACCTTAGATAATAAATGGGTAAAATACATTTTAATACACAATTTATCATCTTTATTTAATTTTCATAGAAAAAATATAAAAAAAACACATTGAATAAATGCATATTACTTTTAAAAACATTGAATGAATACATTTTACATTTAAAATATCATTAATATATTTCATCTAAAATAAAAAATATTAATTAATACCTAAATTAAATATTAAATATTATCATATTCAATCTATTTTATATTGGAAATATAACAAGTGGTGGGATATTATAAGATTTTATTGACTAATTTTAAAAGATATGGATAGTCAAATAAATATATTGTCATTTGAGTTATTGTTATTATTATTCAAAGTAACTGCAAAAATATTTATAATATAACATTTTATAATTTTTACTTAAAGATGATATCATTTTTTTATTTAATTAATTCGTATTTAATTCATGATAATCTCCTAATTATTAATCCTCTTAGAAATATTCATTAGTATTATCATATATTATAATTCCTCACTCATTAAAGTCTGCAAATTTTAATTTCTATGTTAAAAATTTATCTTGTTGTGAGCTTAACTATTATATATATATATATATATATATATATATATATATATATATATATATATATATATATATATATATTTTTTTTTTTTTGTGTTTTGAAAAAAAAATTGGATTAAATTGTAATTGGACCGTTTGTATTTTTTTTTTTGAATTAGATATAACCTATTTTAATAAAAATATGAAACTTAGCACTTGTTAGTGTTAAAATTATTGTTTTTTGTTTTATTAAAAGTAAGAATTTTTAAAATGATCACTATTTATTTGAATAAAGATAGATTTAATAATATGAATAAAAAAAGACAGGCGAAGAGTTAAATGAAAACTAATTTACTTCATATAATATATACGAGTTTTTCGTATAGAAAGAAACTAGAATGTTGTTTCTTTTAGAATTCAAAACTATAATCTTAATCTTGTATTTTTATCTTATTAACACTAATCTAGATTTATTTACTACTCATCTAATCATTAGATATTTAACATTTGTGTAAGATGTATAGATATCAATATTATGATATATAAAATAAAAAATAAATAAAACAGATAAAATTGAATATTTTAAATTTTATGGATATATAAAAAAAAAGTGAGGATGAAAATCCACTAAAAGTGAGAACGCTGTATCCTATTGGCGAATCTTTAAGGACACGGATTGCCACGTAAGCGAGTCTGGATCGTAGATGAATTCCGATCCAACGGTGAGAATTATTTCAATGCTCGATCCGAAGGGAGGTTGTTCGAAACCTTTGACATATAAAAACCGTGTCAATGTCTGTTTCATGTGCATCTACTCTTGCTCTGGCAATTATCTCTCTTCCTACACTCACAGAATTATCGCATAAATTCTAGGGTTCAGACATGGACACTGGTTCCAAGATCAAGAAGGGCGCTGGCGGAAGGAAGGGTGGCGGCCCAAAAAAGAAGCCCGTGTCGAGATCTGTCAAGGCTGGTCTCCAGTTTCCGGTTGGAAGAATTGGTCGCTACTTGAAGAAAGGGAGATACTCGCAGCGGGTGGGAACCGGTGCGCCTGTTTACTTGGCTGCTGTTCTTGAATATTTAGCTGCTGAGGTAATGTAACATTAATTGCATCTATCCTTGATTGTTAATTGTTGTAAATTTAGTGTTTTGATTATAGATTTTGTTTCTGTGATTATTGGATTTTGTAGGTCCTTGAGTTGGCTGGAAATGCTGCGCGTGATAATAAGAAGAACAGGATTATTCCCAGACACGTTCTTTTGGCTGTGAGGAACGATGAGGAGTTGGGTAAATTGCTTGCTGGGGTTACCATTGCTCATGGAGGTGTGCTTCCCAACATCAACCCTGTTCTGTTGCCTAAGAAGTCTGACAAGGCTTCCAAGGAACCAAAATCTCCATCCAAGGCCACAAAGTCTCCTAAAAAAGCCTAAATTATGTATTTATCAGTGATGATTAAGCGTGTTGAATGTACATCTCTGTTTAGGCCCTTTCTTGTATCATCATATGTGATTCCTTTGATACATGTAGTCTTGTTTTTACTGGTTCTTTCTGTGTTTTCACTTGATTTGTAGAAACAGCAACATCTCAGTAATCAATGAATTTATGCTTCTGATTTCATCTCTGTTCAATCTATGGCAGAACATTATATTACTGTTTGCTATACTCACTTAGATATGTTGTTTTACACGGTCAGATATTATCAAACCTTTGATCTGTATATTTAATTTTGTCCAACTAATGTTCTTTTTTACTTTTTTTGGATCTGTTTACCTGATATCAAAGAATGAACACATCCTTGGTAGAATGCTTTTTCGTGTAATCTTGAAGTTTGTACAGAAGCTTAACTTAGATTTTGGTTTGATTTCGTGATCGTTGGAAGCATTGGGAATGGAATAGTGTAACCACTTCAATGTAGAGTAAAGGTAGTGCACTTTTTCTCCATTAGAGACTAATTTGCCATTGAGCTTACGTAATATCTTCTGTGTGGTTTTTAAATCTCAGATGATTCTGGTTGGCTGGGACACTTTTTGTTTTTCATTATTAATATAGTATTAGCAAGGAAATACAAGCAAAGTTCGATCTCTCTGTTAATTACAATTTTTTTGATACACAGTGAGTGAATGAAATAATTCGCAATCCATTACCAGAGAATGAAATCAGCAGAGCAGGTGAAAACAGGGTGAGTTTTATTGTGGACTTGGGTCTGAGAAATTGACTTGACATTTATTTTTATGATTTGCACATACATTTGAATGAACTCCTAATTTGCCCTGTTGCTACTGTTTTTCACAGATTATATACTGTGCATATAATTATATTATCCTGTTAAATAGATCTTGTTTGAATAGAGTTATGAAGATTTTTGAAAAAAAGTACACCATTGCAAAAAAACTTATAATTGAATTAACAATTAATACTATACTTAAATATTTCAATCAATAACTTTTATTACCAACACTCTAATATGATTACATTTATTTAATTATTAAAAATAAAAATGTCTTTTATTTTTATACCCAAACTATAATGAGTTTAATGGATTAGTTTTAAAGTTATTTAGTGAACATATTTTATATTTATATACTTAATAATATATTAAACATGTAATTAATAATTGGTAATTAATTTATTTAATAAATATATTGAAATGAGGGTATTATATAGGAAAGTTAGTCATTGTTTTTATTTACATCTTAACCCATTTATTTAGTCATTGATGTTATTTTTATTTTAATTAGGAAAGATATAATGACATCTATTCAATAGTTTTGAAACACATTGTGAAACAATTGATGATGTGGATGCAATATTAATTGTGTTTAAGAGATACAAATTAAATATATTATATTAAGTTGATTTATTCAATTTAATATTAATTGTATCTAACAATACAGAATAAATTATTATATTAAGTCAGTTTATTTATTAATCATCAAACTGGAAGTATAAAAAAATAGAGGTAATATAATGATTTTTTTTTATTAATTTTGAAAGACGTAAATGATCAAACAAATAAATAGAAATTATCTATAAAATATAATCTAATATTTTTTTTTATATTGAAATTTGGTGAGGATATATTAGTGTTTTATAATGTTTAATATTATGACTTTTAATTTTCTATTAATATGATTTTTTTTCCTAAATTTTTTTATTTAATTTAATTTCTCGTGTTATGAATGTGAAAGAACTTGATGAAATTATATTAAAAAAATATTTAAACTTAAAATAAGTATAAGATATCTTAAATCATACATGTTAGAGACATTAAATTATATATTTGTAGAAAATGCTATTTTAAAATTTTATTCTGTATAAAAATATTGTGAATGAGTTCGAAAATGATGTATTATTTCTTCTTAGAAGATTAATTTTTTTATAGATATATATATATATATATATATATATATATATATATATATATATATATATAATTTTTCATGATAAAAAAAAACTTTTGCCCCGTTTAAAATGGGAAGTTAATTTTTAATACACTTCTTTACAATTTTAATAATTTTTAAATTCAAAATTTAGGAAAAGATATACTGTAGATGCAGATAAGAATATTAATTATTTTTTATTTTGTTAATTTATTTCTTTAATTTTTCTCTTTTAATTATTATTGTTATTTTATTAATCTATTTTTTTCTTCCAATAATTTTCACCTACTCATAATAAAAATAAAAATTGAGAAAATTCAAATAAAATAATAATATAATAATAAAAAATAAAATAAAAATAAGTATATAGTTTTATTTACTTATATCATTTACATAAAAATAAAAACATAAGCTATTGACACTTTCCAATGAAAAAAAAATAAACAAAATAAAATTAAAGATTATATTGAAACATGATTACGTTGTTTAATTAAAATCATATTATCATTAATAATTATAGAGAAAAAATAGAAATTAATAATTTATAATTATTTATTTTCTTTTAAACCTATAGAACGTGCAGAGAAAATAATAAAAAGAAAGAATAAATACAAGAAAAAAATCAGTTAGAAAGAAAAAATTTATAAAACGATAAAAATGTTCTATTTCTTATTTTATATTTTTTTCTATATGTGAGTGAAAAAAAATAATGGTTAATACTTATTATTTTATCTATTAAATTTTACTCTCTCATCATTTATTATTTTCCATTCTCTCTTCATAATTTCCTTCTCTCTTTACGTTTTACATCACAAACTATAATAAATTCAATCAATCAATATATGTTACTTCTAAAATTATTTAATGAAATCATTAATGTATTTAATATATAATTAGTATTAGTAATTAATAATTGAAAAATATTAATTAATGTCTTTAATAGATATATTGAAATAAGTGTATTATATTAAAGATTGAAAAATAGGATCATTCCAAGGCTGTGAGAAGAGATGAAGAACTCCAAAAATTGTTTGCTGGAGTGACCATTGCTGATGGTGGTGTGCTTCCCAACATCAATCCTGCATTCATGTCCAAGACTCAAGCTATTAAGGAGCCTATATATCTGCCCAGTGAAACCAAGTCTCCAAAAAAGTTTAAATGTTTCTTTTTCTTTTTCATTCTAGTATGTAATGTTTATCAATGTTTCGACGTTTTTGACGTACAAGAAAACTTCAAGTGTTTGAAACATTGTAATTCCTATCTTTCTGTGACTTATAAGAGTATGTTGCATTTTGTTTTCCTTAGGACTTGATTTTTATTTTTATGGGAGAATCTCCTTGTCCAATCTTCGTTATCATAATATTATTAGATTTAATTTTTGTATTAAATGTTTTAAAATTTTAATCTATCACAATTTTATTATCAAACGAAGATATATATAAATTAAAAAAATATATATAAATTATTATTAATTTTGATTTATAAGTGACGTAAGACTTATTAGTATATAAAATATATATATATATATATATATATAAATTATTATTTTGAAATAAGAGTGTTTTTTCTTTATATTTATTATAATAATAATATTGTGGTTATTGTTCATCTTTTTCTTTTTATCATATAATTTTTTTTTTCATTTTTTTCCTTCAACTCATGTTTACTCAGCTTGTCAAACAAGGTTGTGACTTTGTTTCTCAAATATCTATTCAAGCTCTTCAAGATTTTAATGCTTTGTGTCAAACTTCTTGACACGAGGAACCAAATGATTCACTAATCATGCTCTTAGACTATCCTTTCTTGCATGCTTAAATTCTTTTGTTCATTCACGTGTTATCCCAATAACATCTCATATTTCTTTGACACTTGAACACAAAAACTTGGTAGAACCCATTAAGAGTAAGGACTGAAGAAATAATATTTTTGGCTTTCAGATAAGTGCACATATTTTCATTTGTTGTCCGAATAGAAAATTAAGTGGGAACAATAACATTTTCAACAATTTTAGTAGCCACATAAAAAACATCAATTATTACATTCCAAACACACTTGTCAATACATCCAAAAAAAGAATTGCATTCTAATTTTCCAAACAAATCTTTTTCATTCTAAAATTAGTTTATCACATTAATTTAGATTTTTAATTTAATCAGATTTAATAAATTAAATGATCCAACTCTAATGTTTATGAAGTTAGGTTAAGGATTTTTGTTTACGAATTCATTAAATGTTAACGACTATTTTGTTTTATTGAAGTATAATAACTACAATAAAATATAGTGTTTGTATTTGTGTTTATTATGATATATATAAAGCTTAATGGTTTTAGGTTTAATTTCTTTCTTGAATTTTATCCAAACCAACTATTCTAGAAAGGTGTTACAAGTAGATTATATTCTACATTCATAAGATATTATCTGGAATGATGAATAAAATAATACAATTAGAGGATGGTTCAAAATTTTAATGGTTTTCTTAATAAATTAGGCTAAGTTATTAAAACCATCATTACTCCTTTCAGGTTTTATTCAATTTAAATCCTTAACCTTCTATAAATGTTTATTTTAATTTTTTATCATTTTAAAAATGACACAGATTTTTTTTTTATCCTAATTTGGGAATTTAGGGTTCAACTTCCCTGTTCTCCCCTAATCTAAAGGATGACATGGTCATTAATAGACAAAAGGAGAATAACTGTGAACCTTCAGAATTCATCAAGTTACTATAAAAAAAAAAGTTTGAAGTTTTTACTTCTTTTATGTAAGGGATAACTGTAGTTTCCATTTTCATGCTGTTCAATCTACCAGTTGGTGGTTCTACAATTCAGATGCATTTGAAGGAGAGTAGAATCAAAAGCTGTTAATTTTAATGTATTCGTATATTACTTGTTTGTTAATGGAAAGTTGGTATAAGGATTGGAATTGACATCGTGTAGTTGAAGGTGTTTGGGCAAAATGAGTTGCAAAATGTTTCCCATGTGAGAATGAACGTGATTTGGCACATATGTATTGGGATGTACTTAATCGATCACAATGATATGAAGGAATTACATGAAGAACCAAATTTAATATTGCTGAAAACATAACTACTATTTTGAATCTACTTAAAAACATGAAGATGAAGAATCATTTTGAATGATAAAGAAACCTTAATTTACATAGACGATGTCATTTTGTTTGGGTTGAACTCGTACACTTAGAGATGAAATTTAGGAATGTTTTAAAAGAATGAAAGACCAAATTGAATAAATCCTAAAGATATAAAAATAATAAAATGTGTTGGAATCATGTGTGTAATAATGATATGTAGCTTTTTCAATACTAACATTTCTTCCTCAATCACATTTCATAATTAGGATTTAATCTATCATGATTTGTTTGTATCTAAAATAGAAATAAGGTGAATAAAAAAAGATTTTGATAAAATAAAGTAAAATTTAAAGGTCTTCTATTGAAAACAAAAGGATAAAAATACGAGGAAAAATAGGAAAAAAAATAAAATAAATTCTACTATTTTTTTTCTTTAAAAAAGTTCTCATGGTTTTCCACAACCCTACCTGGTCTTATTTTCAACTTCTTCCATTCGCTGAATCAAAGGGTCAATGATATAGTTTTTATTTTGTTTATATTTTTAACTAAGTGAATACAAGTTTTAAATAAAAATAGTGATAATTTAGTTTAAATATTATCTTCAAATTTTAAATTTGAAACCAACACATAAAATCCAATCATAAAAATCTTGTGAATCACAATATATATATATATATAAAAAACATTTGTAAATGGTAGTTCTCACGAATATAGAAGTGGTGAAGCAATGAGCCCATCTAATGATGTCCCTTTTTATGTGGTGAAGCAATAAGAATCCGAAGAGCATTGAACATAAAAATAAATAAACAAGGAGCCTTGAGTTGCTAATCTGATTGATCCATCAAAGGATGAAAATATTATATTCACAAAAGATTAGTTCATGGATCGATGTGATCAATGTAAACAAGAATATCTTCCAAGCTCATTTATTGGCAGGTTCAACCAAAAGCAGCCTTCCATCAACAATCTGCACTACGCAGGAAATGAGAATAATGTATTAAAGTGAACACAAAAATAAATTCCATGACACACAGGTGCAATATAAATTTATTGTCAGATCCATTTGTGTGACAAAGATTTCTTTTATCAGTGGGTACAGTGATGGCATCCAGAAAGCTTGATAACGAAAAAGATATAGAAAATATAACAAGACTGCTAGATGTGTTCATGCTAAAGAATGCTAAAGAATTTACATGTACTGGCCTTGAAATTTTCACCTATCAACCAAGCAGCATAACAAAAAATGATACAATAATGATGTGTATATGTGCTAGCATGACCATTAACTATAAAATTACAGTAAGTCTTGGATGAATGCATTAGCATTTGACATTTCCAACAAGGAGACACAACATAGTTTTCCTTTTACATAGTATATATCCATGCATAGTAGTAGAGTGCGTCACTGTAAACACAATTTACAACTCAGGATTACGACCTTGATAATATACATACAACTATCAGTATTTTAATTTGATCAATGAACAGAGAGAGCAATATAAGTACATAACTGTTGAGAGAACAATTCAAAAATTGAAATTAACATCCTACAAATAGGAATTTTTTAGATGTATTCCAAGACTTGATGTGGACACAAGGCGCAGGTCCAACCCCATGACCATAAGGAAGCCCAATAGCCAATACAAGGTTTTGGATGACTTATGATAAGGGCAAACAAGAGCTAAAAAGGCCCAGCAAGCCTTGCAACACATAATGGCTAATCTGATGAAAGTCCATTATATTATATGATGGGACCCTACACGCAGAGGGCACATGGGGAAGAAGTTAGTCACGTGTGTGTATTGCTTGTTTGATATGAGAATAGAATGCAATTAGTAAACTTAGTCATGTTTAGGCATTTAGTTGCCAAGCTTGGATTATGTTGATTTTCTTGGTAAAAAGGTATAAACAATAATGAAGTGATCGTTTTGAACCCCTTACCTCAAGCCTAATTATGCCTCACTTAACAACTAAGGTATAGTATTTATGCTTGCAGTTTTTGGGAGGTGATGCCTATCTTACTATTCTTTCTGTCTTTTAATTTGTGTTTCTACATGATAGAATTCCTAATTCCCAATTTCTGAAATTTGGGTAAGCATCGTGGTTCCTTGATTTCTGGTTGATCCTTGTTGAATTGTACACTTCTAAACTAGTATTCCCATTTTACACTAACTTCATCAAAGCTTCACTAGCATAAAATGGGAATAAGGAAGTTGAATAAGAAAGACTCACACTTGAAGGTGACTCACACTTGAGGGAGAGATTGTTGGGTAATCCAAGTGTGAGTCTAAACCCCACATTGAATAAGAATAAGGAAGTTGAACAACATATAAAAAAAAAGACCTATAACCTAATGTTTTAAGGTTTTAGATTGAAGATGATGTCAATACTTGATGTGAGTTGAGTTCATTTCTCATTAGTATTGTTTTTCTCCTATAAATCCTCTCTTGAAAGACCCAAGAGTGTCATCACCCAAGATAGTGAGAGGAGATTCGTGAAGTGAATTTGTTCAAACAACTTGTAACTCTAAGGATTTTTCAAGTTTGACATGAAAATTTGCAATGATAAAGTGTTTTCTCATGTTTGTCTGAAAAATCTTTATAATCTTATTTGAGATAATACGTATTTGTTTCAATATATTGTGTGTCCATTATCCTTTGCCCCTCACGTCTGAACGACAATTTTCTCTAACAATAACCAACAAAATTTATGTTATTGCATGAACAACAGACAAGGAGCATTATAACTATAGAGCTTTCCCTCAAAATAAATAATAATAGTAATCGCAATGATCAGACTGTTGATCAGAAATAGCTAGATACATAGTGAATATACTCTAGTGCATTTATATTATAACTTTCTGCATGGGTGCACTTGCCTAAACCCCAATAAATTTAACATGAGTTGAAATACATTATATTTATTCTCAGAAAGGAAACATAATTACATCCATTTCCCTTCTTCATGGTTTCACTCTACCACCGCTTGAGATAGATTATTAAGTTGAGGACAATATTAAATACTTTCCTCATCTACCAGAAAACACTCAAAGCAGGAACATATAAATTTTCAATCAATCAATGGTGTTCATCAATGGATGTTCTAACATGGAATAGGGGGTAGTTAGTGAAACAAATCAAGTAGCTACCTTGGTTTTCTTTTTCCTAAGAAAAAAATCATCAAGCCTACATTAAACATAAAAGTAGTCAAAAGGCATTCAATACTACTTTATGTGGTATTACAATAATGCTTCCATTGACCAACAAAAGCCTGCAAGGACACTAGAACAGCTAGACAACTTGTTCATGGAAACATTATGGTACTAAGACTTTAAATCCATGTGAATAGTATATCTTTATTATTTCAAATCAGCAATCCATCAGGCATTTCAACATACACCTTCAATGCGTCACCAGAAATTCAGTTAATCCAAATATATCAATATGGAGCCTGGAATACTGTTGATAAACAACCTATTAAAATGGATAGAGATAAGACAAAATTACCCTGCCATTCATCGATTTCATAGCCTTTTCCGCTTCAATATGAGACTTGTAGGAGACAAACCCAAACCCCTTGGGCCTTTTAGTTCTAGGATCGATCACGAGATCAACTAAATGATAAAGCATAATTGAAGACCGGGGTGAGCAAACAAAGTTGAGGAATAGAGAAAAACACAATCACAAACAAAAACACACCTTCTGTAACTACTCCGAATGGAGTGAACAGCTTCATCAGCTGGTCCTGTGTGACGTAAAAGGATAATCCTGAAAAACGAAATGAATAAATGGTGAGGTTTGGAGTTGAATTTAGTTAAAGAGAGGGAGTAAAGAAGAACCCTAACTAGAGATGAAGAGCTTTGTCCCCATTCTCTGTGACATCTCTACTTTCTGATTGATTTAAACATTCATGGAAGGATTCTATTACACTCCTCTTCTGTGTAAGTTTGGTGTATGCTGGGAAAGGTGGTGTGAATAGTATTGACTCCATAGGTTAGTTTGAAAACTTAAAAAAAAAAAAACTAGAGAAAAGATTAGATTAGGTTAAAAAAAAGTATGTTTTAAATTCTGGTTAATTCTAACTTTAATTCGTGATTTAAATAAGTTTAAGGTATTTTATTTTATAAATTCATGGCTTGTTATGTTTTATAAAATGCTTTTTTAAAATAAAAATAATATTATTTTATTATATATATATATATATATATATATTAAATTCATTCAAAATTTAATTTTTATTTTAAACAAGAGGAAGATATTTTTTAATTTAATTATTAAAACAAATTATTTAAAAATAAGTAATAAATCTATAACTCTTATTATTAAAACGAATTGATTTTTTTACAACTTATACATAAAATTATTAATCTAAAATAAAAAACAATTTTATTAATATAATTTAAATTTTATAATAATTTTTTATCAATCTCAAATATTTTATTTTTTTACTTTTTTAATAACTTATTTGTATATAAATATGTTATAATAGTAAAGAAATTAATTAATTTTTTTCACTCGTTTTAATATAAAATAGAACTAAATAACATATTATATAATCTATTTTAAAATATAACTTACACTAAGTCTTTCATGTATTATCATATTTCTTTCATTTTATTTCTATTTAAATTTTTTTATTTAAATAATGTTTAAGAAGAATTACAAAAATATAATTAATACAAAATAATTTTTATAGTAAATATTATTGTTTGTTTTAATTAACTATTTAATTCTTTAATTTTTTTCTCATTTTTTAAAGAAATTCGATTAATTTTTCACATTTTCAGTAACAAAGTCATTTTAAATATGCATGTAGTAATTGTGTTCGTATGTCATTTTTATATCAATATGTTTTTTTATTTATATATCAATCTCATATTTTTTAAACAAATCTATAGTTTAATTTTTATATGAAAGCACTTACCATATATATACTTACGAATGGTTAAATTCTTTATTACTCCTCCTTAGAAACAACTTCATCATTAATCCATTTTTTTTTACTTGATTTATGTTTACTCGTTCATTAGCTTAAAATATCCTAATTTATTTATTGTTTTGAAATCATATAATTTATTTACTTATTTGAGTATCTAAAATTTAGAAAGTTAAATTTTAATTTATTAACAGAGTACACGATACGATAAATAATTAAAATATTTAATTTTATAATTTTTTTAATTCATCTTATAAATTATTTCAATATTTAGTCCAACTAATTCTACATTTGACATGTGTATATAAGTGAGGTCTAATTTATGAGATATCAATATTTTTTTATTATTCTATTATTTATTTTTATTATTAGAAAAAATATATAACGTTTATCATGAGTCTAGAATTAAATATTATTTTATTTATATATATCTTTAATTCTCCTTGAGAATTTATATTTTGATAAGTTAATAAGTGTCACGTTATTTAATATAAAAATAATTTAAATATATTTTCCTCTCTTAATTTACTGTCTTGTGAAAAAATCAAACAATAATTTTAAAATTTTGAAAATTTATCTTAAAAATATGATTATAACAAATATAAAACTGCCATTGGAAAGATATATAAGTTATTTAGCCTAATTTAATTATACTCAAAATACGCTAACTCATAAAGTGATGATTTGTGATAACTTTTTGCCCAAACATAGCTGTCTTTTTGCTTTTGAGATTTCAATGCTTTTTCCACGGAAGATTGACTTAGGTATCCATTTATAATGATTTAGTTAATAATAGCACCCATTTATTAGTGTTCCAGAAGGGGTCGTTGATTTTGTTCAAACCTTATGCCTGAAAAATCTGATCCAGTTAAATGTTGTTTCCTTAAAATGAAAGAAACAAGACTTGGTATTAAACTTGACAAGGTCATTGTTTCAGCAACAGTATTTTAAATGTTTGTCTTGTTGACATGGTCAGAGTAAACCCATCTTTATCAGACTACATCAAACCTCAAAATTAGAGTTAAACTTCACTTTCATAAGGAAAGTTCATTTTTTTTTGGAATACAAATTAATTTAAAAAAAAATAATGTTTTGAGATTAAATTGCTCTTTTAGTGGGTTTGTTTCTTTGAACATGAAATCATATAGAGCTTTTGACAGTTAATTAACGGCTTTATGATAGATATTCTAAAGTAGCTGGCAACAATGAAAGATATTCTAAGGGGTTTAACATTTTTTATTGGAGAATTTCGAATCTAAATTAAATATTCACACTATATGCTACTTGAAAATTATAGAATATATTCTTTTTAGTTGGCTTTTTTTGTCTTTAGAATCTTCTTGTTCTCGTTAATATCAGGCCATCTTAGAATGGTGGGGTAGGAGGCACATTAGATTTTTTTTTTTTCAGTGTTTATACTTTATTTTCAATCTAGAGTTTGAAAACGAAATGGAGGAAACAAATTGATAAAAAAAAAAAATTAACACCTATTAAACGAGATATATAAAAAAAAATTGTTTACGAAGGTTTTATTTGTAAAAGAAATGTCGTCAAACTTAAAATTAAAATATTGACAAATAATTCCGGCGACATTTTCATAGGTAAGAATTAAAATATGTTGACATGTTTTTATGTTCTTTTATTCTTAAAATCCTGGAGATAATTTTAATACTAGGAATCAAGCTGGTCCTAAATATTTATGACAATTGAAAACCCACAAATTTTTTAACTTTAAAAAATTGAAAACTAAAAGAACTCTCTTTTTATTTCTTAGGTTTAAAATTAAACTAAACAAAAATAACCTCAAATTAAATATAATATTTTTATATTAATTTTTCTATTACATTCTCCCACAAATCCTTATCATCATCTCTTATCATATATATATATATATATATATATATATGAAAATTAATTGATTAGACGTGTCTAACTATTTTAAAATGTTTTTTAAGATGTAAAAAAAAAACTAAGCCAAAATATCAATTGACTCACAAAATTAGCGGTTTATAAAATATAATTTAGATCAAACTATAATCTCATAACAATATTTAATATTTTGAACATTTTTATCATGTATTTATTTATTTAATAAGTTTTGCCTTTAAATAAAAAACTACTGAATAAAATAATTTATGCATTGTTTCAAGACTCTGTATAAAGTTATTTTTATATTGAAAAAGTATTATCCTTTAAAAATGTTATTGTTTACGCGTAAATTCGTGTTTCATTTGAAGGTGGAAATTTCAAATTAATTAAAATCTTTGATTTTATTATTAATGGTGTAATTCAACTTGTATATAAATATATTTCATTTACAATAAAAAATGACAAACTCAAAATTTATTTCCCAGGAAATCACAATTTATAAAATTATATATTTTATCTCTGTCACCGGTATCTTTTTACGTAATTTTATTTTAGTCTTTATACCAATAATATATTTATTAATATATGAATTTAAGGATTAAATAAAAATATTTAGAATGGACCAATATATTACTAGGGGAAATACCCTTAAAAAAAAGGGTGCCACTATAGTCGGGGAAGCCTCCGAAGTTAAAGGTTGCAAAAAAAAAAAAAAAAAAACTCCAGGTTGTATCCTACTCCTTCTGTTCTGGTGAATAAAAAATTCTCACACTTTTATTATAAAATAAAAACAACAAAATTTAACATCGCTCTTCTTCTCTCTCTAAAAATCTCCGCGGTCCTTCCGTTGAACTTTGGAGATCCCCTCTCCCTCCCATTTTCCTGTCCATTTCGGATCTGGTACTCTCTCTCCTGCATTTCATTTTTTGCCTCCTCCAATTAACTCCAAAATTCTTCTCATTATTTTCTCTTTTTCTTTAATTTTATTTACGGATTATATGCAGATACTTAGGAATACGAACGTATAGTTTTGAATCGCCAGAGATTCATCGATTGAAAGTTGATGGCTGCTCCACCGGCAAGGGCTCGTGCGGATTACGATTATCTCATAAAGCTTCTCTTGATCGGCGACAGTGGTAACTTACTCACGCCTCTCTCCTCTTGTCTTGCGTTGTCCCGTAATTTTTGTTGATTTTTATTTCAGTGTTTATATTGGTAATGAGAAATCACAACACTGCAATTCTTTGCTTAACATTTTGTTATCTGATTTGTTGTGTTTGGATTTTGAGGCAAGTGTATTTAATTTTAGAGTTTGAATCTTTTCATGATCTAGCTTGAGCGAGTGTTTGAATCATTGTTTCTATTACAGCGATACTATTACGATGATGAATTGCGAATTCCGTTTGATCATATTTTGAATATGTTGGACAAATTGTCTTTGACAATGAATATGTAGTTTGGCCACTCTGTACCTTTACAATGATTTGTTTTATTGCAACGTGTACTAAATTTTGGACACGTGTTTGGGTTGTTTTAAAGAATAGCCAATTTTTATTTGCAGTTTTTAAGAGTGTTTTTGTTTTTTGAGTGATTATTTAGTGAAAAAAAAAAAAAAAAAAAAAAAAAACCAAAGCGTGGTATCGGAAGTTGATTTTGAGCTTTGTTTTCTTGCACACTTTTAATCTGTTTACTCTACAAGAACGAAGCAATATGATTGCAGTTGGCGTTTTCACACGAACTTTTTTCCTGTGCGTTGATTGTTTACTGCATTATATATGCAATAGATGTAGATCCTTCCACCCTCTCTATTTTTTTTATAAGAAGATGAATGAATGGAATAAGTGATAGCATTTATAAATAAAAAATACTGTGGCCATAGAAATTGCAAGGGAGGTGCATTGGTGTACAAATTCCTTAATTTTTTACGAACATTTTTTTGTTATTGGTTGCAGGTGTGGGAAAGAGTTGCCTTCTTCTACGATTCTCCGATGGTTCTTTCACAACTAGTTTCATCACGACCATAGGGTGAGTTTTCACAATTTAGGACTAAAATTGCAGAATCTTGTGTTCCAGAAGTTTCCTTAACATCACCAGGTCTACCCTCCCGGTGCAGCATTGATTTTAAGATAAGAACCATTGAGCAGGATGGAAAACGGATCAAGCTCCAAATTTGGGATACTGCAGGTCAGGAGCGGTTCCGAACAATTACAACTGGTAAGACTTATGATCCTTATAGGCACAAGTGTCATTGAAAGGACCCCAACCATTGTAAGGAGAGTGCATTTTAGGAGTTTGAATGTATTTATTCTGTTGATTAAAAAATATCAACAGTTGAGATTTTAACAACTCTTGCTTTTGTTATTATGTTATACATGTGCATGCATTTAATTAGAATTTCAATCGTGGATGTATTCCTCGTCACTTGTTTTGAGCCAAATCCCAAAAAGGATGAGACTTTCTATTATGGTCAGTTCAGAGTTCAAATTCAAAGATAATTCTAAAAGCAACAGTTAAGGAGAAAATATTATCACATGCCTAATAACAAAAAAAGTCTTATTCCACTAGTTGATGTTAGTTACATGGATCACACGACACCATTCAATATGCTCAAAGGCCAAATATTATATATATTATTTACCATGAGATCCCCCTTGACAACTTTCTCCGTTGTCTCTCTTGGTCTCCCTCTCCTCCTTTCCACAAACTAAAAATATGCAATCTACACTCTTTATTGGTTCTTCCAAGAATGTTTTCTTCACATGTTTAAATCACCTTAACTGATTTTCTGTCGTCTTTTCGTCAATTGGTGTCAATACCTTCTCGTATACATCCTTTCTTGACATACCACACATCCATCTTAACATTCTCATTTTTGGTACCTCACATTTTTTCTTGTTGTCCTTCTAAAGTTCAAAGCAAACTACTATAAATTGTCCCGATTCAATAAAACTTGTCTGAGTTTGGTAGACACTTTGTGATCACGAATAACCCTCAAAGTTTTTCTCCCTATTAGTCATCCTGCTTGTATTTTGTGGGCGGCATCTTCATCAATTTCTGAATCATGTTAAGTATTGATTCTAGATATTTAAACATAGATAGATGCCTCTGGTATGACATCTCACTCTCTCCCTCTCTTTTACTTCCATGCCATATTCTTCTAATCTTGATAAAATTATAACGCATATATACTTTATCTTGCACCCACTCAAGTAAAAACCATGTTTTGAAAGTTTGTCACCAAAGCTCATGTTTAAAGTTAAATGTTTTCTTTAATTTCTCAATCAAAACTATACCATCCTCAAGAAGCATGCAATTAGGGATAATCTTTAGTATGCCGTTCTTGGTTAGCACATCAAAGACTTGATTAAATAACTAAGGATTTAAGGCTTGACCTTGATATAATCTTATCCCTCTAGAAAAGTCCCTCGTCCCACCTCTTAAAAATCTCCTACTAATAATTACCTCATTATACATGTCTTCTATAGATTGGATATAAATCACTCATATATCTTTCTTTTTACAAACTCTTTCACAACAATTCTCTTGACATTCGAGCATAAGCTTTTCCAAGTCAATAAAAATCATATTGTAAGTTTTCCTTTGCTTCAATATCTTTGCATCAACTCTGGTAAAATGATATTTAGTCTTATGCTGTAAATCTCCATTGTCTCTTTTATTAACCTATGCCTAATCACCTTCTTTTCATAATTTTATGGTATGACTAATTAGTTTTAGATCTACGTAGACAGTAGTTAATACAACTCTAAATATATATATATCTTTTTCTTAAAAATAGGAATCAAAGTGCTTCCGCCACTCATGTGACAATTTCATATATCTTAAACTCTCATTAAATAACCTAGTGAGTTAAATATTATCTTGTTCTCCTGCACACTTTTTAACTCCAATAGGGATTATCATGTAGATCAATAATAAGAGAGCATTTTGGCTTTTTAGTCCTTCTATGTTATGAGGTGATTCTTGCCCATCACTGAAATACTAATTCTTTCACCTGCCTTCGATATTTTGGTCTATGTCCGATATTTTCTCCTTTTCATTCCTAATACATCTCACTTAATACAAATCTCTTGTTTTCCTTTCTTTATTTTGACAAACTTATTGGTCTTATGTTCTTCATTGTTTGTCCTGAAATCTTTCTAAAACTCTTCAAAAACTTTAGATAGTGCTTCAGTCACAACTTTTCTTCTATCATTTATAAAATTTCAATACCTTGTCCAGTTTTCAACATTATTGCACTCAACTAAGGCTTTAAATCATATACTTTTGTTTTTCACGATCCCACCACAAAGATTTTTATCTTTTAGCCTAAAACCTTTTGATAGAGTTTAAATCCTGTAGAATCTAACTCCAGAGCTCTTTCTCCAACACCTTTGGCTGATCTCTCGTAAGTACATTTGAGGTTAATCCAACATCAAATTATGGTGTCCACAATCTCCATGGACTTATCTGTCAAAGTATCAATGTTCCAAGTAGCAAACCAAATCAAGCACTTTTGCACCAGCTTCTTACCAACATCTGTCTAGAAAATGTGAGAACCTTTGTTCATTTAACTCTACATGTGGACGCTAATGCAGTGACCCTGATTCATTTTACACTGGACATTAGCTATAAAACGCATTAGATCTGGGAAATGGCCTAGCATTAGCAAAACTCCATTGTTGGTGTTCCATATTGAGTATATCAACGAGTTTCCAATGACCAAACAGAACCCTCTTCCATTTTCCGAACTTGGGATTGGCTATAAAACCATACATAGGGAGATTTATCCCAGTTCTCTCTTGCTGTTTTGGTTCCAGTTTCTCAATTGAGAACCATGTAAAATATACAAGTGAAATAGTTTTTGGGAACGTGTTCCTTGCTGATATCAGTGATCAATGTGAATATGCGATGATCACAAGTGAGCCTCTTTTTGGATCATCTAAAATGACTTTCACCAGTGGGGTACCCCCCAACAGTTTTTCGGTCAGATGTGTCAAAATTCATATTTATTTGAATAGGTACTGTTTCATTCATTGCTGTAATTCTAGAGTTCTTTTATTCTTCATTGATTTTCAATCTTTGTACCAGTTTGAGTATCTGTCAAGTAGTTTATATTTTGCCAACCCTTTGTTGAATTTCCTATTTTTTTCAGCTTACTATCGTGGCGCTATGGGCATATTGCTAGTCTATGACGTTACAGATGAATCTTCATTTAACAGTAAGTTTCCATCTGTTGCTTCGGTTTTATATTTGTAGATGTCTTTTTCTCTTCAAAGGCTTTCTCATAGAATCTTGACGCAGCTTATACCAATTTCAGATATCAGGAACTGGATTCGTAACATTGAGCAGCATGCCTCAGACAATGTTAACAAAATACTGGTGGGGAACAAAGCCGACATGGATGAAAGCAAAAGGGTATGCAAACATCTGAAAACTCTCTTTTACTTATCTAGGAACGTCGATGCACCTACATTTATCAGATCCAAGCCAAGGGAGCTAAAGAAATGATCCATTATTAACTTCAAACACATTTTTCTCACTATTATGCAAGAGTTGGTTGCACCATAATGCACCATGTTTGTTTGAGATTTAACCCGCGCACCACTTTTATTTGACACTAGTTTTTGCTCTTCTGAACATCTGTTCGCCAATCCAAAAGTTAAAACAAATGGTGTTAGAGGAACCACATGTTAGACCATAGTGAATGAAACAGTTTTGTTTGAGCTTGAGAACAGAAGGGGCTAAGGGAGTTGACTTCTGATTGACGCGATTAATTGAATTAATAACATCATCAGGTCCTCTCTAATATTTGTCGATTTTGTGATTTTTGGATTCATTTAAGCCTTTTTGCCTTTATTTCTAGGCCGTGCCGACTTCCAAGGGCCAAGCACTGGCCGATGAGTATGGAATCAAATTCTTTGAAACAGTAAGTGTTGCATACATAAAAATGTGGAAACTACCATAACTTTTGTTATCATCACCAACTGAAAAAAATTTCTATTGCAGAGTGCAAAGACAAATCTAAACGTGGAGGAAGTTTTCTTCTCGAT